TCAGTCGCCTTATTGGAGCCTTCAACGACCTCGAGTTGAACGGTGATCCACGCTCTGATGCAAATAAGGTTGACGTACTTCTCGAGAAAACTGTTGGAGATTCCTCACTTTCCAATGGAAGATCACATATTACAGGAGATGCCGTTCTCCGATCCAATTTCCAAGGTGCCATCAATTATTTAACAACACAAGTTTTAGCTGCAGGTAACGACAACACCCAGCGCTGCAATTGACAACTTGCTGCTTTCACACGTGGTGGTGGGGGACGCGGTGGTGATGGGAGAAATGGAGGTTGTGGCCGAGGAAATGGCGCCACAAACCGCCTGCAATCAAATGTTCCAGATCGCTTTAGCCGCAATGGTCCCGACAAACGGGTCATGTTATAACGTTCGTCTTTTCCGCGCGGAAACACGAAATTTCGATGATCGGAGAATCTCGAAATACACGTTTTTGCCACACGGTCTGACGCAACTCTGCGTCAAACTGACGCAACTCTGCGTCAACTCCGCGTCAAACTAACGCAACTCCGCGTCAAACTACAGTAACGCAACTCGCGTCATTCATTCCCGCGTCAAAAGAAACGTCCCGCGTCAAAGTCGTAGAGCGTTTTAACGGACACATAAAAATTATTTAGCTTTAAAGAAATTCTCAAAACAATCTAAACGGACAGATTTCGGGCGTGCGTTTGACGTTGTGGTGCGTGTACACAGTCTGTATTAGGAAAGTGTAAAGCATGTACTAAAAAAGGAGAACGTAGGAACAACATTATTCAGAGAAGCGATTTGATGCATTGCTGTACTATGGTATGATGGAAACCGAACTCTCCTTCCACCATTCTCGTCGAACAGAACTCAGTCTCATTTTTTTAAGAAACTTGTTGAATCGCGCTCAGTAGATCCCGGCACTCTGCAACATAATCGACAGGATCCATACGGACTATCTGAGTCTTCAACCGAGCTTCATCATTTACAGTTTCTTGTTTCACTCTGCATTTTAGGATCCATTCTGTGTGCATAGCCTTGGCGAAATAACTATCATAAACATCTTGGTTATCGTACTGGGCAAAGGCATCATCGGCAGTACTACCACCGAAAAGGGTCATCGCCTGGTCATCAAACACTGAGACCCAAGTAGATCCAGTGTCGTCAGCAACTGTTCCAGAGAAGATCCATTTACGAGTACAATTGGGGTAGGTTCCTTGGCACCTGTCACACTGCCAGTTGCCATCTGTCGTCTGCACGACTTTGCATCGATTGCGGCAAGGTTCTTCCTTATTTGGACAAGCGGTATACCACGCCCCGCCTTCCTTGTCCTTTTTCAGGAATGTGAAATGAGCTTTGAAAGAAAGATAGTCCCCCTTCTCGTTGTTGTAGCCAAGGCCTTCTTTCTTGATATCGCTTATTCCCTTGCGCTCCTGGAAGAGTGCCATCTTCCCTCCTCCCCCAGAGTTCTTGGAGAGAGATCTTACTGCGCCCCCACTGCTTCCTTCGCTTTCCCACCATTGCATTAGAGCTTCAGTTTCCGGAATTTTGGGTTCCAAAAAGAATCCACTAGCTCCACTCAACGATACACCACCAAAATCGCCAACTCTTGCCTTTCGAAAAGCAACAACTCTAGGAGCTGCAATGTCGTTTTTTGCATTCGAGGCTTGGTTCCCCCAGAGTGTCAATCGAACTTGAACAGCAGAATCGTCAATCAATGTCAAGTCACATTTTTGTAGTTCCCGGCCAGTTTTCTTGGATGTGAGACTTTGAACATCGCCAATTTCCTGAACAACGGCAATAACATCCACATTCTTTCCAACTTCTGCTTTTTCCAGGTCCGAGATTTTCACTAAATCAAACGATTGTGCTTGAATATCACCAATGTCATCCTCAAGACGAATGATAGAGTTTTGATCAAAATTCAATTCGAATTGGGACTTGCAAGTATTATATTGCATATTGGCAACCTTGATACGCCCACCTGACAGCGTATATACTTGGCCAACTTGGATGAGATCATAGAATTTGTCAACAGCCTCCTTGAACATTGTCGCCTTGACATCTATACCACTGCTGTCCAACAACTCGATAGAGAAGAGCGACCCTTCACCGCGGGCGTTAGACCAAGTCTTGATCTCTGATTTAGAGACGACACGGGCCTTGATCGTCCAACGATTTTGAAACATGTTCAGCTGTGCAATAAGAGTGATAGGGTTTCCAGAGGAACTTCCAGAGGCCTGACGGACAATGGGCGCGGTATGTCGCTTCTCGGATGGACTGTACGGATTGGCACGAGGGATGTTCGTGCTTTTCCCAGCAGTTGCCTCGCTTGGTATGCTAGTGACCTTCACAGCATTCGAAGAAACCACAGCAGGGGTAGGAGATGAGTCAGACTTTTCGATATCTGTCGGGCTTCCAATTCTAGTCCCAGGATTGTCCACAACCGATATCTTCAACAGGATAACTACGCTTCGACCTTGGACCGAATTATTCATGAAATCATTCACGCTAATGACAGTATTGGTTTGGATTTCGTTTGATTGGACCATATGATTCAGCTGAGTTGCGAGCATTCCTTGCACGAAATGAGATCCATCGCTTAGGACTGCACGGTACCGTTGGACCCCATTTTTGTTTCCCACTGCTTTGATGGAAATCAATTGGAAAACTGGTTTGAAAGTCTTATTGGATCCTGATGAGGTCAAGCTGACAATCGTTCGGATACCATCTGTTGTCAAAGACATGATTTGAAAGCTGCAACGTGTGAGTTCTAAAGTACACCTACAAAGCTCACTAGTGTGACAGATTGTTTCAACAAAGAGACAAGCCTTACCCTTGTATTGGGAGATGCTACTATTGAAATCGCTTGAAATCGCTTAGGCTTCGTCGTCAAGAAAATGACACCAAGGTTTCAGCAAGCGCAGGTTCAGCTTCCTACGGGTACACGTGTACAGGTACATCAGAGTATAATACACGTGTACGTAATGTTGGTACTGTATCGTACATCGAGGTGTGATTCGCGAAAATATAAAATTTCTCTGAAATGGCGCGAACATTGACAAACGATGAATATTGCGAATACGTTGAATCTGGTCTCTCCAACGACTACAGATCTAAAATACGGGACCAGGCAACTTGGATGATAGAGCCTCTTTTAGCCTCTGCCTGGAGAATTTGCAATGAGTCAAGGCCATGAGCAACTCTTCCAAAGCAAGTACTTTGATCATTTAGTGTTTGGTATCTGTCCGAATCGAGGACGATCATGAACTGTGGTCCGTATCCTACAAAACCAAAGGCATGCTTCGCACATGGAAACTTTGTGGATGATTCGATAAAACCCAGAGTCGCTGCTAGTGTCTTTTGTGTTTCAGCCGACCGCTGTGCTTCGTTCTCTTCAACGGAAAGAGTTGTGGACGATAAAACAACCTTGAATCCGGCATATTGCTCTGCTTCAACAAGTGCCAAAAATGAGAGCACGGTGTGCGGTAGGTACAGTCTTGATGATACCTCGACAATTACTGAAGCATTCTCTTGTTTTCCCCCTTCTATCGAAAAGCTGATTTGGACATGGTAGGGTCCAACAGAAAACCTTGGAAGTCGGATGAAAAATGTTGGGTATGTTAGGTCACACTCTAGGAGTCACTACAGTTCACTAAACGAATGCTCACCGTTCTCTACACAAAACACTATCCCGGTTCTGTACGCGGTGAATCACATCCTGCTGTGTTTCAGTCTGTGCTGGATTCAAGGGTGGCATCGAAAAGTCGTTGCCAGTCTGGTCTTTCCACTCTATCTTTGAAGACTTTGTCTGGATTCCTCCCCGGTAGATCCTCTCTTTCTGATTTCTAGTCATAGCTCCTTTATGACTAGTGACACTGTGGTGTATCTTCTGGTATTCAACCAGCAGCAATGAGTACTTCTGCATTGCCATATCTTGATTCGACAGTCGACCAAGACATTCGGCTTTATCGAAAGTGTACGAATCACTACCATCCAAATGTCGTACGCTATGGCGTTTTGTTTCCACCAACAGTTTTCTAAGTTCCAATGGAGTAGATTTGCGTTGAAAAACCGCACTACTCCACATGTTATTGACGTTTTGATGCACGTACTGCAAGACATGAATTGCCCCGACTGTAATGACGCAGAAACTCAAACAAACCGATGCCTTTGAACGAACCATTTTATCTATAGTTTGAACGTTTCATTTCGAAACCAGCGTCCAGCAAAAATCTGTCAATTCCCTCTTGATGGACCTTGTCGTTGTTCCTCCCACTCTATTGTTTTTGGGTGTAAACGGCGAACTTTCGTATTTTCGGATCCGTGAAAGTTGGGAACTTTCGTGAAAGTTGGCATGACCGTCGTACGTGGACGTGGACGAGGGACAGACGGTGAAATCCCCAAAATATTCAACATCAAACATCAACATCAACATCATTCGCAAAACAAGACACAGCACTGTTAGATATTATATGCGGTATAATATTTGACTGAGGTTTTTGAGATTCCAGATTCCTTGGTGAAAGTGAATTGACGCGACGACCAACCAATAAAACGTAGTGAAAAGAATTGTTCATTCTTTTCA